GTACTGCATCCAGTTTTGGGCTCCATAATTCAAAAAGGACATGGAGAAGCTTGAGAGAGTGCAGAGGTGAGCCACGTGCATGATAAGAGGTCATGAAAACAGACCTTACAATGAGAGGCTGAGTGCTATGGGGCTCTTCAGCCTGGAAAACTGCAGGCTCAGCGGTGATTTGGTGGCCACCTATAAGTGTATCAGGCGTGCTCATCAGGATCTGGGGGAACGTCTGTTCACCAGAGCGCCCCAAGGGATGACAAGATCGAACAGTCACAAACTCCTCCATGACCATTTCAGGCCGGACATAATGAAGAACATTTTTACTGTCCGAGCCCCCAAGGTTTGGAATAGACTGCTGCTGGAGGTAGTTCAAGCACCTACCTTGAACGCCTTCAAGAGACATTTGGATGTCTATCTTGCTGGGATCCTCTGACCCCTGCTGACTTCCTGCCCTTTGGGCAGGGGTCTGGACTCGATGATCTTCTGAGGTCCCTTCCAGCCCTAATGTGTATTATATCTATGAACTCTATGCACAAGGCAGCCAGGAAGCATGGAAAGCAACTCCTGAAGCTCCCCACAAGTAAGTCTCTGGAGTGGGAAGGGGGAGGCATAGACAATGTGTTGGGAGGGAAGGGGGGCACATGCCCCACTAGATTTGTGCATCTGCCATAGGCACAGGGCTGCAGCCTGGCTGGGCCACAAAGAGCAGGATCTGCCTCTACAGCCCAGAGGGTGAGGGAGGACAGAGTGTGGTGGTGAAACTTGTTGCTGCTGCACATGCCACCAGGATCCCCACACCAATCATGCTGCCAGCAGCTCAAGTAATGGATGCGAGGGACCAAGCTGCCCTCACCACTTCCTGCCCAGAACTGCTCACACGCCAGGCCACAGATCTATCCCACTACCATGGCCTGGCTGCTGCTATTCTCCTCAGGCTACCTGCACTGCCTGCCACCCCACCACCCCTCCAGGGTACAGCCACAGCCTGAGGGGAGTGGTGGTGGTGGCAGTGGTCAGGCAACGGCAGCAGGCTAAAACTGTAGCCTGAGCAGAGCAGCTAGCAGTGGGAAGAGGTGAGGACAGTGCAGCCCCTTCTCCGTCACATCTTTTACTCCTCGTGCTGCTGGCATCATGGCTGGTGCAGGGGTCCCGGCAGTGGTGGCAGCAGCAACAAGTCTTGCTGTCCTGCTGCATCGTCTTGTGCCAGGTCCAACCTGCTGGGCCACGGAGGCAGCTCCTACCCATGCCAAGCTGCAGCCCCATGCCCACTATGGGGCACTGTGACAGGCTGCCATCTTTAGCTGCATTTTTTTTTTTTTTTTATAGGCCAGTGAGTGGGTACCCATTAAGTCTTGCTGTATTTTCCTTCCTTGGGGATCAGCTTCCCCCCCTTTTACTCACCTGCCATGACTTGATGTTACTTGGTTCTTAAAAAGAGGGAGGCTGACCCAAAGGTTCCCAGACACGCTCTAGGCTCACTGCCTGTAGGATGATGAGCTGTTGCTTTAAGGGCAAAATGCACGCTCCTACCCCCCCTTGACATGCTCCATGCCTCACAGATATTTTATAATTTTCTCTTTATATTGGGGTTTCAGCTGCTGTAGGTTTACCCCCTCTCTCTCTAGCTAGGCCTGTCAATCAAAACCCACTAAGAGAGCTTCACTCAGAGGATCTAGCTCTTTAGCCCACTCAGGCTCAAGGCCCTTCGTTTCATACTCTCCATGACACCAGGCCTACTGGCCCTTCTACACTACACCCCTGTGGGGCCAGGCTGTTGGGGCCTCAACCTCCTCTGGGTTTGCCCCCCTTTCTGTAGTTAGGGCTCTTTGCCTACGTCCACCCACTAGGACCTGGCTTCAAGACTCCCATCTTCCCTTCAAGCAACTCCAGGCTCATGACCCTAGTGCTGCACCCCTAGTGCAGGACTTCATGATCCCTCTATCACGGCGCCCTGCAGTGCTAATGAGGCCTCCTCCACCCCTATAGCCTCAGCCACAAACCCCCAGCATTAACATTAAACATAAACCATAAGCTCCTATGGCCATATAATGAAAATAAAAATAAGAGAGGCAAACTGCCCGCTTACATGTGATTGTGCTTCTCTCTCACAGTGTGGCACATTCTTCCCAAGGAAGCTGCCGCAGCTGCTCTGTAGTCATCAGGAATCTCCCCCTCTGCTGCCCCCCTGGCCTTCTCCACTTGAGGTTTACATGGTTCTGGCCTTCCCTTCCTGTCACCTGACCAGCTGGCAGGGCTCAATCCTTAACCCCTGCTTGACTGGACAGATGTGCCCAGAAGGTTCTGGATTTAAAGGGGCCGCTCTGCTTCCTGGCAACAGGGCTTGGGTTCCCTGTTAGGCACTCTGGGGGGGCACGTACCCTATACATACCCATTCCCTGCCCTACACACTGGGGGCTTGCGTCTGGGGGCAGAAGCAATGGGTTAGGAGTGAGGGCACCAGCAGGGCTGGGAGGTGCAGAGCTGTGGGTTGGGACTGAGAGGCACCAGCAGGGCCAGGGTTTGAGTTGTGAGTGAGGGGCACCGGCAGATCTGGAAAGGGATGGGGGACTTATGGGTTGGGATTGAGGGGCACCAGCAAGGCGAGGGGGCTGCAAGTTGGGAGTGAGGGGCACCAGCAATTTGCACTGTGCAAACTGTACAGTGATGAATGTCATTTGGAAGTAATGGAGGGCCACAAGCTGACATTGCTGTTAATGTTTTCCTGTTGATGTTGATTTCTATCTTTAAAATTAAGACTGTTCAGTTGCTTTAACTTGTAATGTGTGATAAGTATCTTGGTGCTCAAATACTTGTGTGTTTTCTACTTAAACTATTTGCTAGGTTGGGACTGGCCATAGCATTGTTTACAAATGGGTCCTGGTACAAAAAAAGTTGAGAACCACTGCTCTATTATGACTTTGACTTTAATATATAGTGCATAGTCGGACATGTATTTTTTCTTGTATTATTAATCTACCTAGCACTGTATATAGACAGTGTTCCTGTAAAGGGAAAATTCTGAAGTTACTAGCTAAGCAAAACTTTCATTAAAGCATATTTCAATTTAGGTTTTAGTTGAATTCTGATGAATAAGGCCCTAAGAACAAAAAGATTCAGTAAAAGAAACACAACATGACACTTTACAACCCAGTGACTATAAATCTACTGAAATTACGTAGTGACTGCATAATCTAGAATGGTTTATCATGCTAGTTTTAACTTTGTTAAATCCAATCAACAAGGAGAAGAAATAAAAGGAACACTTTAAATCATGCTTCAATACAGTTGTCTGCTAATAGTGGACACTGCATGACTAGTATTCTTGTAAGAATTTCAGGCAATTAAAATTTCATGTTGAAAAAGATATTACAAGGCTGCATTCTTGGTGAATCGGAAACAGGTTCTCCTGTGAAGGCAGTGAAACGATATTCCTGAAGAAGTTCTTGTTTTATTTGTGCTAGCTCAGCCTGTAGTTTTTCCACCTTTGGTTTAAAAAAAGAGTTAGGAAAAAATTAGGAAAAAAGCCTAATTTATCTTGCATTAGATCATAAATAGCAAGAAACATTATATAGATGGAATGGACCAGCTTTTTAACTGGGCTTGTAAGCAGCCTCCATTTGTATACATGCAAAGCTACATGCATGCACCTACAACACTTTAAAAATAACTTGTGCACAAGTGTAGAGGTTGCAACCACAAAACCACAGATAGATTGCAGGTGGAAACTCAAACATTTAAATAGGTGCTTGTGTTAGAATAGTTCAAAGGAATACAAACAGGTTTTTCTCCTGCCAACTGTAGATGCAGATATGTCTACAGACAATTTTACGTGTGCAAAAATAGAGGCTGTCTGCTGAAAATCAACTCTTATGTCAAAAAATAGCTGACTGGCTCCTGGGTTTAGGGGCAGCTTTTTGCCTGCAGTCAGTGGTAATTACATGTATGCCAATAAGCATATCTCTGGATATTTTGAACCTCTTATTGATACATTAACTTAGTCCATTCCTGGAATAAGAAAAAGAAGGATTCATATACATTCACATATATAATTCACTGAATTAGAGTAAAATCTTGAAAATTAATGAAATCCAGGTTAGGTTTTATATGTCTTGATAATTTTTTCACTTTCTCAAGATAAAATCTTAGTTTTCAACATTTTTGTGCTATTAAGCATGTCTTGAATATTATAAGTTATAACAGAATGGATGGCTTTGTTAATCAGAGTATAATACATTTTTGGTTTTCACAAATTCTAGAACATCTTACAGAGATTATGCTCTTGCTTAACTTACATAAAGTTTATTGTGAAGTACATATACAAGCCTTGGCACCCTGTTGCAAAATTTGAGAGAAGCCTTTAAAAATTTAACTGAAATCCATTAAGGGTTGTCTACATAGAACTGGGGGTGGGGGTTAGATGCTGCATAGTAATTGCTGCCTGACAGATAGCATGCAGCAGCCATTTCCAAATGGATAGCCAACTTTTACTTAATTGTGGACTTTGCTTCCGAAACATTTCCATCAAATTATGCACTCAACACCGTGGCTGGGTACCCTATGTTCTCTAAGGTTCAACAGCAACACAAGACATTGAGGGATTCTTCCAACACCATAGAATGGGATTGTCAGGAGTCCCTGTGATTCTGCATCCAGAAGTCAAACTTCCCGAATCCCACAATTCCTTTCTGTCCCTGAGCTGTCTTTTAAGGGGGGGGGGAAGGGGGG